ATATCTAAAGCGAGTTAAGATTCAGAGAATGGTTTTGGGAAAATATTTGATAACATTAAGGTTAAGGTACTTCACGATGTGCCCTCAGTAATCTCGTCCTGCTACATACTTCATTTTAAATTTCTCTGAATTAAGTGAGAATAGTTGCACCAAACTCATTACCCAGAACGAAAAAAACTCACTGTGTGCATAACTGATGGACATGATGATTGACGTCTAGCTCTCCGATGTGAACTTCTCAACTTTTGCAAAACGACACAATTTAGAACGCAAAGAATAACGAATGAGACGAAAAGATGCAGAAACTGTAAGAAAATTTCAATTATTATTGCAAAGAAATAAAACTCAGTGCCTTTATACCTGGATGAAAACATCACTTGTCCTGTAAATTCCAGAAATACCGGGATCCATTTCCTTTCCCGATAGCACACGGCTTTCGAAGAGGTCGCAGTTTGGTAAATCAACCACTTGAATGAAGAAATAACCAGGAAATCGAAGAACTACCACTATAGTGGCAATCATAAGAACTATTGCTTGAAGTTTTCGATTGCTAAAAATGTTAGATTGTGGAAATTTGATCAAAAATGTTTAAACTGTATTCTTAGAAGATTTTGAAGATTGGAAAATTTAGACTAAAAAGCGGAGGAGCTTATAGTTTGCAAAAATTAATATACAGAACATGTAGGAAGTAGATTTACCCTGTTTGTCGATCTCTCCCCGTAATTGAGGCTAATCGGTAAGCCGTGTTAGCAATCAAAATATAAGGAATACACAACTGAACAATTCTGCTGGCTATGAGCATATGAACGTTGTATGTTGTAACCGCCATGTAAATCCATTCTGAATGAAGAAAAAAAGTTAAGTGATATGATGTACTTGGAAAGCTATAAGTTACAACTAACCTATTCTAAATGTGACAGAAATTTTGAGCGCACCAAAACAAGTAATAAACAAGAAACATAGCATAAAATCAAGAAAGGCAAGAAATGTTTGAAAGGGATTGTTGGAGCCTTTCACGAGGAAGACGAACAGTAGCAATAGATTGCACGCACATCCTACCACCGAGATCACGCTTCCAAAGCTGAAAAGAAAAAGATTTTTATGGAATCTAGGC